GCTGATTGTTCGATTGGTCTAGCTCGACAGCAAGGGAAATTTTTTCGAATTCTAGCCTGTTTTTTGATTGTCTAGCTAAAACATTCACTTTAAGAAAACCTCGCATTCATTATTTACAGATCGAATGTTGAGCTGAATGTCGATTGTCTAGCTTCGACATTAAAGAAATTTCTGAATGTCTAGGCTGATTGTCCGATTGTTCCTAGGCTCAACATTTTCACTTTGAAAATTCCCTTTGATTTTTTATTATAGATCGAATCGTTTGAGCTGAATGGTTCGATTTTGTTCTAGCTCGTCAATAAGAAATTTTTCGGCAATGTTTTAGCTGATTGTCGATTGTTCTAGCTCAACATTCACTTTTGAGAAAAAAATTTGTTGATTATTATACAATCGAATGTTGAGCTGGAATGTTCGGTTTGTTCCTAGCTCGACATTAAGAACTTTAATCGAAATGTCTTAAGCTGATTGGTTGATTGTCTAGCTCAAACATTCAACTTTGGGGAAAAATTGTTTGATTATTATTATAGATCGAATGTTGAGCTGAATGTTGATTGTCTAGCTAGACATTGAATGTCGATTGTTGATTGTTGATTGTTTAGCCAAGTTATTGCACATCGGACGCCAGGGGGTATAACATAATGTGTCCGAAATTCTTTCGGGCATATTACAACAACAAAAAAATTTTATTTGCATAAATGTTAAAGCAACATTATAGCTTTATACTTAGATAATATAAACATTGGTACAAGTTTCTTAAATAATGTAAACATTGGTAAAAAATAACTATACAAAAGGTATAGATATTTCAGATTTGTTTCATGTATTATCATGTTAATTAATCTATTTCAGATCGAACGATTTGTCAACTTTTCTGTAAGATTGGAAGCAGAATAAAAGGATGGTTATCAGTACGTCAAGGATCCAAATACTCGTAAGTGTTTGAGTGTAGATGGTTTTATTTTTTCTCTCATCTTATGTTTTATGAGACGGACTAAAAAAGGCCACATTTTTTGGTCATTGTTTTGTGTAGAAACCATTGTAGTGTATAAATATAAAGCTATTTAAAATTGAAAAATTAACCTGAAAAATATAAATAAAATGTTTTTCACTATATTTTATCTGGTTTCTGAAAAAAGTTTGACAACATTTTTGTATTTCTTTAATCGCTGGTTTTGTTCATTAGTAAAGATTTTGGATTTTTATGAGATTTTTTTGCATTCTTTTTACCATGATTCATGATGATCTATAAAATATAATCATTTAAAAACAAGTACAATGTCTGATAGTGCATGTAATCATTGCAAGTATCATATGTTTTATTAATTAATTTCCTTGAACAAAATATAATTTACTTGTGTCACAGATATCTTTGTCTTGTATGTGGACAAATGTTATAAAGATGACATAAAACTAATAAATGGAATATATTTAAGCTGGCTTCAATTTTGCTTTCTTTTGTGTATATTGGCATATATATCAAATATATATCAAATAGTTAAAACAGTAATCAGTAAATTACTTTTTATTTCACATGTGTTTGTTTTGATTTGTTGTCATAAGGCCTCTAATCCCAGAAATAGACTTATACACTTTACAATATTCTGAACATGTACATGTACAAAAATTCTGATTCTTCTGTACAACTGGCAAATTCTCTTAAGAATCCTCCTCATTACTGCATGTAAAATCACCAAGATCTAAGTCAGAATCTCAATTGAAATAATCACTCTTGGAAGAATGGTTCATACAAGTTTAAATTTCAGTATTACAATGATTGTTAATTGCTTGATTCAAATTGCAATACAAATTTGAATTTAATTGGTTGGCTAAATATACTTAAATTCCTTGACGGCAGAACAATTAGTTCACAGGACAAAAACCTCATGTGGATTGTCTTTTACCATTCTTTTTGAAAGATCTGGCTCTATATATAAATGTAGTAGAAGTTCACAGACAATTTTGAGTAGGTCTACGGTAAAAAAAAGAAATAAATAGCCTTTGACAAAATAGCAAAATATGTTTTGATATAGCAATGTGGGCAAGACTGCCTTTAAAAGGAAAGGAAAATATGACACAATAGGAATTCTCTTTTCGACCATGTCTGAATTGAAAATCATTGAGATGAATTAGGAAATATATCTATTATTAAGAAAAAAGATCTACTTTATTGAATCTTGAAATAGTAAATATAAAAAATAAACAAAAGACATTTTAACAACATATGAAATCGTACTAAATTATTATTTAAAAAATAAACAACGTGTGATAATGCATGTCTATAAATATATTTTAGTATTCAGTTTGCCTAATTTTATCCCTTTTTCCGATTTGACTATGGTAAGATAGTCACAATTGTTTTTAATTATTCCATTTTACAAAATTATTATACGTTAAGTTATAAGAATATTTCTCGGATGGGTAAAGAAATACTCACATTTTTTATAGTTTATCATAAGATACTTTTAAAATCTAAAAAGTTAACTCACCCCACAATATTTTTCGCTTACAAAATGAATTTCAAACATTAAAAAGATGGGTAAAAAATATTAAATCGCAATAATCATGATTATACGTAATTTTGAATTTCATGGAACTAAAATAACCCAATGGAATGATATCGTAAGCCGTTCACGTGTTTTACACTAACCACCTCGCCAATCAACATTATCAAAGGAAATGTACAGTACCATTTGGTGTAACATTATGATATATACGAGGAATAGAATATTATCTTTAACACCCGGTTGTTTCAATATAAATGCCTGACGAAAAAATTGTCTAATGATACTTGAAACAGAGGAGTTTTGTATGATGTTAGTGAAGTTGGCAGCCTGGCAGTCTAGCAGCCTGAAGTTTGCTGTATAGCAGCCTGGCAGCCTAGCAGCCTTAAGAAAATAAATGATAGTACAAACATGAAAACCGTCGGAAATGAATTGGTAGCTCATACTTAGACCATTCCACGTCTTATTTCATTATCGTGATCTTTATTATTTAAGATAGTGAACTATATTTGTTTTTCATTCTGACGCTTCGAATTTTGTAAAGTTAGCAGCCTAGCAGCCTAAAGAAAACTAAGGATAGTACAAACATAAAAACCGTCGGAAATGAATCGGTAGTACATACTTGGACCATTCCATTCCACATCTTATTTCAATTTCGTGATCTTTATTTCTTAAAATATTAAACTTTTTTTGTCATTTTGACGCTTCGAAATTTGGTGAAGTAAGCAGCCTAAAAGCCTGGTTAAATGTATATAAGGATAGTATAAACATGAAAACCGTCGGAAATGAATCGGTAGCATTACTTAGACCATTTCAATATCGTGATCTTTAATTTTTAAAATTTCATTCTCACGCTTCGAAATTTGTATTTCTTATTTACCGATTAATTTCCGATGGTTTTCAAATCCAAGTGGTGGTTAAATTATTATGCTTGTATACGAAAGTTCTTTTGTCAAAATCGAATGCATCATTATGGGTCATAGACTGAATTAATGCGTAAATGCAAAAAATACTTAAAGTTACCACTGCATCGGCTATTTATCAAAATAAACTAGTCTAAACTTATTGCTGATCATTTAGATGACATCAAATTGCTAATGATATAATTGAATACTGATAAAATTTATTCTTTCGTTATTGCTGAATTTACCTACGCAGAATGCGCATGGCGAAATGCTACATCCGTTTCTATGGAAATATCGTATTGTTAAAAGGTATATAAAGATAAATATAATATTTTTGATAATTATATGATTAACAAAATGGCGATAACCTTGTGATATTGATTGGAAAATAACTTGTATAATTTCCATCAGCTTAATTAGGTTTGGTGAAATATGAAATCGGACATGTAAATGATAGGCGACAAATTTTATTTCCTATTTGAAATAGCACAAACAGGTTCTTTAGTCCTTATCATCAATGAGACCAAGTGTAATCAAAACATCTGAAATTTTACAGAACTCAATTAATCTGAAAAACATCTAAACTAATGAATACTAATAATAAACCAGAACAACTAAAATTAGGTAAACTTGTAAAGTATCTGTCAAATAGAATGTTATACATGTATGTTTATAGTTAATACTATTTAATGATTAAGTTAAACTGTTGTGTTCATGCGAGCTTGTGTCGCCTCTGGGGAGTAGTGGCGACATATTGGGATTATTTCTCCGTCGTCCGTCCGTCCGTCTATCTGTATGTCCGTCCGTCACAAAACTTGTCCGGACTAATCCTCATAACACTACAACTGCAATTTCATCCAAACAGCAATTATCACTACTTAGTTTAGTTGAGCATATTATCAGCATTTTTTGGTTCAATGATTTTTGTCCGAGTTATGGCCCTTAAATAATTTTTATTTTTAAATTGTCCGGACTTCTTCTCTTATACCACTTAAGCAAATTTCAATGAAACTCTGCAGCTCAAGTCCTTGCGCATATTGGACAGGTTTTCCGGTTAATGATTTTTGGCCGAGTTATGGCCCTTTAATAAAAATGTTTTTTTTTGTGTTTGCCAGATACACAAAAGCTTGTCCGGACTATTTCTCAAAAACTACTGGTGTAATTTCATCCAAAGTTTACAGGAATGATCAATACCAAGTTTAGTTGTGCATACCTCTGGATTGTTATGGTTCAATGAATTTTGTCAGAGTTATGGCTCTTCAGTTATTTTTAAGTTTGTCCGGACTACATCTCTTATATCTCTTATACCACTTATGCAATTTCAATGAAACTGTACAGGATTGATTGGTAGGTCAAGTACTTGCGCATATTACACGGGTTTTCCACTTTAATGATTTTTGGCTGAGTAATTGCCCTGGAATGTAAAAAGGTGCTTTTGTGTAGCCAGCTACACTGAAGTTGCAAATTCATCAAAACTTTAAGGGTATGATCAATACCATGTCGAATTGTGCGTTTCATCAACATTTTTCGGTTCATTGATTTTCGTCAGAGTTTTTTCTTTTTTGCGAAGATCCAGAGTGTTGCTAAGTCTCTTTTTCGGTAAGGGAGACCTAGTAATACACATCTATAGTATTTTGCATTTGATAAGACCACATATGCTTGCATTTTTCTTTAATCTGAAAGTAAGTATCAACTCCATTTTTCGTAATTATTAATTAAGTGTCATATTTTGCACTTTAAAAAAAGTGTTATTTCAATCCGATGTATACGGAAGAATTATCCTTCGTATTTTTGCCTCTGTTAAAATATCATGTCGTGTATAATTAATTTCTTGATAGTAACATAACATACTGTATATTTTACACTTTGGTATTTGCTTCCTGATTATATGAGATATTTTATTAAACTCATATGTTTGATAAATGTACAGAAAAGCTTTGTCTCTCTACATACTTGATACTTAAATGTATAATGAAAGATTATTTATAATTGGTTCATTATTCGTTAGTTTAACCTTATCCTATGTTAATTAACTGCTATTTTAGATTAAATATGTTGTGTTGTTAAAGAAATATGTAGTTTTTGACTTTGAAAATTAACCAAATGAATATTGTAATGTTGTTAGATAATAAAACAGTTATCGTATGGCAATAACGGTGTTACTCAGGTCTAAGGATGCCTAATGTGATACTGGGCCATAGCCTTGTAAATAACAAATATTGTATTATTAAAATGATTATGATTTAACTGAAACATTTATACTAGACTCGTATTTTTTCAGAATAAAATGACCATCGTAGCATTGATACTGAGAGCAGGTTTACCTTCTTTCAAATTAGCAGGTATGAGAAAATACTCCATCATTACTTTAATGCCTTACAATAGAAATAATACATTTATACCTTACTAAGGAAAAGAAAAGCATGGATGCAAAGCAACAAAGGGCGTCCAAGCAAGAAATGCAACAAGTGAAGATGAACTAGTAGACATCTGTTGACCAGATATTCTTATAAACTTTTTAATGGTTAACTAGTTTTTACCAGAATTGTATATCATTTTTGAATGGGCAGACAAAAGACATTGTTTATAATGAACTTTGGTAGGCATGCTAGAGATTAGAATATTAATTTTATTTTTCCCACAGGAACTTGAAATTCTATCAATATTTACGATAATCTCCAAAATATTCAGGTCTATTATATCCAAAATATACCCCCTCTATATGGTATAAGTTTATTTAAATTACATAGGGGGTAATTTTGGATATTATTATTAATATTGGTTATTTGATAGAATTTCAAGTTCATGTGGCATTTTCTATGGAACATATAAAAAAGTATTCAAAATGAACAAAGTCTGTTCATTGATTTATTGGGAGATCAATCTATTATTTTAATGAATTACTTCAAAACCTCGTCTGTTTCACCAGTGTGTTTACATTTCTATCAATAAACCCATAACAACTCAGTTAAAATTGCAGAGGAACGTTTCTATTGTTAAAATGTCACAATATTCGGCAATTAAACATTCAACTCAAACTACCATAAAGTCGATTGTTTTCAAACAAAATATAGAACAGTTAGCTAAAGAGACTTGAACTATATTATACTACTGCTAGACCTGTTTACTGTCGCACAACGACAACATAAAAGCGACATATAAAGTTATGAACTAGGTCTTTTTAATATTCACGGTCAAAATGTCATGAGTTCAATCAGGGCCATAAAAAAGAAAACCAGAGAGATCTACGAAAAAGACAATTTCAAAATGATTATACTATGATTAACAATTCGTAAAAATGACCTACTTAATTTTTTCCTATAGATTTATAAAGAGTAAAATTAATTGTTTTAATATGTTTGCATTTCATTTCCTGCCATAAAATTCGCCAGTTCGTTATTCATTACCATAGCGCGACACGAATGACCGTTTCGTTAAACTTACACTATTTTATACAAAGAATTTTCGGACTTTCACAATGTTAAGGTCATCATTCTATCTATAGGTACAGCAGTAACATACATAATAACCCACATGATAAATAAAAAAAACAACAAAGAGCGCGATTTATTGACGGATAAGATAATTCTTAATATGTTTGCATTGCGAAATTCTCCAGTTCGTTAATCATTGTTCATATCGCGATATTTCATTTTTGATAATCAAACACCCTCATACCAATCGAAATGATCGGCTATTTTGACAGACGAAAAGGCCCGAAACGTTCCAATTGCCCTTTCACAAAATCTGATTTCATTCCATAACGAGCGTCGCGTTTCGGCGCGGACGCCAATAATCATTGAGTTATATATTTTTTGTTTTGGGTTTTACGTAACATCGACACAGTATAGGTCATATCGCGACTTTCCAGCTTTACTGATGAAGGAAGATCTCAGGTGCCCTTCCGTGCATTATTTCAGGCACGAACAGGCACCTGAGTAGAACCATCGACGTTCCGTAAGCTAGCTGGATAGCTTCCTCACATGATAGAATCCAAAGTCCCTGCCGGGATGAGGGGCAAGTGGTTTAAAGTCAACGACCTTAACCACTCGGCCACGGACGCCCTTCATTGAGTTTTAATATAAAAATATTTAGATCATTTTACATACGTTATAATACTTAGGTAAATAATTTATAATCGATTACTGTGTCTAAACACGTTAACAAAATTATTCATACAGAAATGATTGCGTTTGTGACCAAAAAAGTTGTCATCGTCACGGATGTTTGATGCCGGTGATTATTTTAATTGAAATATAATTAACGATAATATGACTTCGGAATATGCTATTTAAAGGGCCCATTAAAGGGAAAATACCGAGTGGTTTTTACATGACGGGGCTAGAACTAATTTATCGAGACAAACGTTCCATTAAAAGTAGGTCTAGACCAATATTTCAGTTATTTTAGGCGTTTGGGTCTTAAATCTAAGAAGCTTAAATTTTTCTGAACACCATGCTTTTGTTTCCTTTGCCTTTTGCTGATTACTGCAGTAATAATGATTATATACGGAAGTCAAAACACGACTTTTACGCCATTTTGCAATTTTTATGACAATAGTTTCCATCATCATCCCTGATGATAAAAAACGCAAATACCTAAACACCATTATTAAAGCTGCATTTTATAACATTCATAAACACAGAAATAGCTACAATTCGTTCATGTCGACGACCATACTTATTTTGTCCAAAAGACCAAAATGTGTCAATGTCTCCAGCCTACTAGTTGTAAAATCGAAAGTACTCATCTGAACGTCAATATAAAATCAACAAGAATGGCTTAAGTTTAACGGCATATTTCCTGCGTTCTTATTTTTTTAAGTTTTACACTTTGACATTCGATTGCATGTGTGCATGTGCGCATACAAGAGCAAATAATAGTCTTTATTTCCAAGTTTTACCGGGATAGGTGGTTTTCCTTTGAAAACAATAATTTCTGAACAAAATTAAATTCACAATACACTGTTAAAACGGCTAACAGTTAACTGTAAAATACTTGCTTTTCAGGGCGATTGAAGAAATTTTTACATTTTCATAAAAGCTTTAAAGTATTAATTAGACATGATTTTTTCTCTACTAAGAAGTTATTTTATCTCTGGAAACATAAACAATATTATGCTTATAGAACATATGCAATTAAAATCCGAGAATATCATTAAATCCGTAGTGATAACGCATAAAACACGCTAGTGTTAATTAAGAGACCGGCAATTCAACTTACAATTACTTTTAATTGACATTTTAAGATATTTTGAAAACTTAGATAAATGTCATTTTCGTTTTGATGTTCATAAACTTTTAAAATATCAAATATCAGTATTGAAAAAATTATTTCATTGTTATATGCGTCACTCAACACTACGTTCCTATTGTATTTCACCTTTCCTGAATATCCTTTGTTTACGTTTGTTTTTATGTGAAAAAAAAAATTGTGTTTATTGTGTAAACGTAGAATCTGTTTGACTGTTGTATTTACTAATGATTACTACGTAAACTTCATTTTAACTGTTGCTTTGTTAACTTCGTGTTATTTTCTGTTTATAAATTAAAAATTGTAATGCTGTTTTTGAAATATGAACTCAGGTGCAAATGTCGCTATACAAAGAAAAGACAATCGGGCTGATGAATCATGTGAGTGTGGAAAAAGCATAACAATTTCTTGCACTTTTAAGAAGAACACATTTGCCATTGAGTGGATGGATGCAATTGATAATAAACCGATAGCAAGATGTTTAAAACAAGTTTGCAGTTTAAATCCAAAGTATGTTGAACAATACAATATTTCGTTTGACATGGAACAGGGCTATTTTGACTTGACAGTACAAAAGGTAACCATGGAGCTCAACGGAAGAAAGTTTGTTTGTTCGGATGGGTCAAATACTGCTTCTTATAACATGAGTGTCAAAGGTAATACAGGCTTACTTGCTAATGAGACCACGCGTATTTGGCGACTTTGGTCTTATGCGACCACTGCAAAGTCCCCCTGATCATTTTCTCTATATATCTTTCATGTATTAAGCGACCAGCAACAGCTAATACGTCAGCTAATTCAGACCAATATTTTCATCAAACGACCATTTTTACCTGTCAAACGTTTATGTTTTTTTGAGAAAGTCGCCTCGTGATTAAACAAGTGTCAACAATCAATTGTGTAAAACAAAAACGTTTTAGTGTATGCAAATAAAGTTAATTATACACGTGACGTGTATTATCCAATAAAATCAAATGAACAATACAACGCCCCGCCCTTACTAAGATGGTGTATAATTCTCTCTGTTGATATTTAGACTGCATTGAAATGACCTTGAACTTGATCAGCAGTTTGTTTATAACTTTAAATGAAAAAATGCATAACAAAAGCATCTACACAAATTAGATTTTATGTGTCGGGGACAAGTAAAATCAACGGAGTTCAGTAGGGAAAATGTCAAAAATGTACGTAATGGTTCAAAACATTTTTGTTAATAAATATCAGATTTGTTTTATTTGAGCATCTATTTGGATATCAGAGCGTTACATTTATTAAATATTTGTACAAATGGGCCTCCTATAAAAGAAGCTGAAAAAATTACCCACCGCTGAGGAAATATGTCATGTATATATATCTTTACTTTTTTCTCATGCTTAATTGTCTCAAGAGACCGTTTCGTTTAGCGACCATTTTTGGTGTTTCCCTTGCGCGGTCGCTTAATACACGTAAGACTGGATTTAAAGTTAGACAAATATATTTGACATTTTTAAATAGGTTTCCTATCTACATTACAATGTAATTATTAACCCACCACTTTATCCTCTTTTTTCCAAGAAAGGTACAAGTTAACAGTGCATGTATTATTACACTACTTCAAACGCAATTCGTATGACAATAATGCCCTGTCAAATGTTCTTTAGTTGCTTAAATTACATCATATTGCAATGTTTTACCTTAAACCATAAAACGCAGGGAAAGCACAAACACGGCTAAATATAGAGCTTTTCAATTTGGTGATAATTAATTAGGCAGTTTGCACTATCAGTTTACATAGATATATTTTGCTTGAATTCTAAAAATTCTAACATTTAAAAGATTGTTTTGTTATACTTAGGTATTGCAAAAATATTTATAGTTTTCCAAAGGAATCATTCTCAGAACACAGATAGTTTCGGTATGTCACCTTTTCCAATGATGTTTCTATTACAGACTACGAGCCGTACCTGACTGATGATAGTAAATCTGGAAGCATAACAGCAGCGCCTGGTTGCATTTCACAAGACACACAAGTTTCCTTCAAATGGATAAAGATTTACGTATGTTTCTTTACAAAATTATAAATATATTTAGGTAAAAATACATTAAAAATAATTCAACAAAGTTTTAATGAATCAAAAGCTACAAAAACAAAACGATTGCATTCTACTTGAAGTAGAAACAAAGTCACTTTACTATGAGCAAAAATACCCTGATATTTACAGAGCAATTAATAAATGATTTAATATAATATTCCCGCGAGTTTTACACATCTATGAAGCAATAAAGTAACAGGAGTTCTCGTTTGTGCTGAAATATTTTTATCATAGTAAGAAAAGATGTACAAAACATTTTAGGCTAAGTCTAAGTGAGATGACACTGCATTCGAAATTTGTATAATTCATATTTCAAACTGATCTAAATAGTACTTAGAAATCAAATTAAATTATAATGTCATTTAAAATTTTTCCTTTGGTTCACTTATTATAAGTCTTTAAATGCGAACATTTGATTGGATAGTTATTAATGATTAATGACACAATTGGACGTAAACTTCACACATGACACTTCACAGTTTGATATGTTATATCATTATTTTTTTAGGCTAGCAGTAATGCTGAAATGGAGTTCAATCCAAAACGCCCAGTCAAAAGCATTACGAGTTGTACAAATGATTCTGATTGCGGAAATGACATGCATGTGTACTATTCAGAGATAATTGAAGCTAAGGCCAGTGCTGAAGGGAAGTATTATCTAAAAGTCACAGCGATATATGGAAATGAAAGCAAAGAGTCATTCAGTGCAAACAACTCTGCCCAGAAGTACATTATTGAAGAACAAGGTATTATTGTCGTATTTCCTATTGGTTGCGAGTAAAAAATATTAGGATATTTATCCAATGCCTCGGACAATTTTCCCCTTTTAGCCATTTTTAAAAATATACATTATCCGATAACGCACTCATATTGTATTTTGAAGGACTGACTTAGTCTTCAAACATCTGTTGCATTTTTGTTTCATTGCTTCCCATTAAAATCAAATTGAATATACAAGTACATATATACTGATGTTCCTTTCCTATTCATCGTGAATATATTTTCGTACTAACTAATTAAAATGTTATGGTTTTTACATATGATTACAATTCTGTTATGACATT